CGCGCCCCGGGGGCGCCGTGGACGCCGACTGGTGCATCTCCTTCGAGCAGATCCTGGCGTCCGTGCTGACCGAGGCGGCGCTGGTCACCTTCTTTGAGAAGCGGGTGGACCTGGGGCTCAAGCTCAAGGAGCAGAAGACGGTGGAGAGGCAGTTCAGCGCCTCCAGCGACCAGGAGCAGCCCGGGCTCTCCGTGTGAGCCCCGCAGCGGCGGGGGCCTCCCCGCGCCCCGCGCCTCCCGGGCGCCGGCCACAGCCTGAGCCCCAGCCTGAGCCCCGACCCCGGGCACCTGGCGGCAAGATAACGTGCTTTTCGGGCCTCAGAGTGACAGAACCTTCCAGGTGCTCGGGGGAGCCCGGCGCCTGGGCCTCCCGAGCAAGGAGGGCGGGAAATGTCGGCTGCAGGCAGGGCCCGCGCACCTGACCCCCCGCCCCCCCCCCCCGTGACGTGGCGTGGACGACGCGACCCTCAGGCCCTCGCCCCCCCCCACCCGTGTATTCCCATCAGTTGGCTAAAAACCACACCGTGCTCGATGCCTTAATAAATCCCTGAACAAAGAGCCAGCGCCGCCTGCTGCGCCTTCCTGCGGCCCGCCAAGGCCGCCGGCTGTGACAGCCCCGAACTCGGCCTGTGTTCAAGTCCAAGTCTGACTCTAGTAGATGTGAACTTGTGTAACCAATCCACTGGGAAGTTTTAGACATTTCCATTTCTGTGACCCCAGAAAGACCCTGAGGCCTACTGGGAGACCCCCCCTTGCCCCCCCACTCCCAGCCCCCCACACCGCCGGCCCACCTGCCGTAGGTTTAAAAAATAGAGCCGGCTGAAAGTGTGGCTCAGTGGTAGAGCACTTGCCTAGCATGCATGAAGCCCTGGGTTCGATTCCTCAGTGTCACATACACAGAAAAAGCCGGAAGTGGCGCTGTGGCCCAAGTGGTAGAGTGCTAGCCTTGAGCTAAAGAGTCTTAAGGCCAGTGCCCAGGCCCTGAGCTCAAGCCCCAGGACTGGCAAAAAAAATAGCAGAGAGCTGGGTGCTGGTGGCTCTCATCTGTAATCCTAGCTACTCAGAAGCCTGACATCTGAGGATTTCAGTTGAGTTCAAAATCAGCCCAAGCAGGACAGTCCCTGAGACTTATGTCCAGCTAAGCACCACAGAGCCAGAAACGGAGCTGTAGCTCAAGTGGTAGAGCACTAGCTTTGAGCACAAAAAGGTCAGGGACAGCACGCAGACCCTGAGTTCAAGCCCAGGACTGGCACCAACAATAAAAAAAAAAAGAGGGGGGGGATGGGAAGGTGGCTCAGTGGAAGAGCGCTTGTCTTGCAAGCCTGAGGCCCTGGGTTCGATTCCTCAGCACCACATAAGCAAAAAGAAAAAAACCGGAAGTGGCGCTGTGGCTCAAGTGGTAGAGCGCTAGCCTTGAGCTGAAGAGCTGAGGGACAGTGCCCAGGCCCAGAGTTCAGGCCCCACGACCGGACCCCAAAAAAAAAAAGCGGGGACTGAGGTGTGTCAGTGGCGGGGGGGGGCGTTGGACAAATGTGAGGCCCTGGTTTCCTATACCAACAGTGCAAAAACCCAAACAAACAACACAGTGCACCTCATGACTTTACCTTGTTCATGATGGCTCTGTCTACTATGTCATGTTCTTCATTTGCTTTTTTAAAAATAGAGTCTCACTAAGTAGCTGAGGCTGACCTTGAATTTGTAGTCTTGCTGGGATTACAGTCATGTACAACCACTCCCAGCTTCTTATAGCACAATTTTAATAAATGCAGCGAAACAACATCAAGAAAACTAAACAAGTTTTGTCTTCTTTTTTCTCTGGCAGAACTAGGGTTTGAAATCAGAGCCTTGCACTTGCTAGGCAGGTGCACTACAATTCCAGCCACAACTCTAGCTCTTTTTTGCTTATGTTTCAGGTAGTGCCTGGTGTTTTTTGCTTGGGGTCAACCTCAGACCTTGGTCCTCCTACTATTGACTTCCCACATAACTGAGCTCAGGTATGTACCATCATACCTGGCTTACTAATCGAGATGTGGTCTTGCTTTTTGCCCAAACTGGCCTTAAGCCACTATCCTTCCTATTTCTGCCTCATCGGTAGCCAAGATTACAGATGTGAGTCACTGAGCTTGACCTGTTTTTTATTTTCCTTCTAGTACCAGGGTTTGAACTCAGGGCCTTACATTTGTTCAGCACTTGTTTAGCTAGTACTTCGGGCCTTACATTGGCTCAGCACTTGTTTAGCTAGCACTCAATCAGTTGAACCATGCCTCCAGCTCAACTTTTTGCTGGTTACTTTGGAGGTGGAGTCTCAAGGACTTTTCTCCCCCGGCTGGCTTTGAACCATGATTAGGATAACAACTGTGAGCCATGGTTGCTTGGCTATTTTTTCTTTTAAAAGCCACTTTAAAAAAAAAAAAAAAAAGTAAAAGAAAAGGCAACCAGACTCCAGCAGCTCATGCCTGTAATCCTAGCTACTCAAGAGGCAAAATCTGCGTATCTCAGTTTGAAACTAGTCTGGGCAGGAAAATCCATGTGATTCTTATCTCCAGTTAAGCAGCAAAAAGCCAAAAGCGGAGTTGTGACTCAAGTAGTAAAGCACCAGCTTTGAGCAAAAAAGGAAGGAACAGCACTTAGGCCCTGAGTTCAAGCCCCATTACCAACACACCTGTGTATGTGTGCACACACACACACACACACACACACACACACACACACAGAGCCATGATAGTACTTCTTCCCATCTGTTAATCATTCAATCTGGAATGATGCTTATCAGCCAGAAGAGTAACATTGAATAAAACAAAACACAATTTCAATGCATTTTTACTCTGTAATTCAACATGAATAATTGTATTTGAGGGGCTTATGTACTTCTGGAGGTGGAAGCCAGGGCCTCATACATGTGAGCCAAAGTGCTCTACCCAATAACTGAATTTTAAAACTTCTTATCAATACAGTTAATACAGTATTATTTTCAAGAAATTAATATATGAATTTTTAAAGGAGTACGTTTTGCAGAGATGCAGAGGAGGAAAAATAGAACAAGATAGAAGACTCAAACTGAAAATTACAGTAAAAAAAAAAACTAGGCTTGAACTAAGGACCCTGCATTCCATTAGGGCGCCCCATTTTTTTTACCCCTCTGGCAGGATTAGGATTTGAACTCAGAGACTCTTGCTTCCATGGGCAGGTGCTCTACTATGTGAGCCATGCCCCCAGATCAAAACCAGCCTTTGTTTCTTTGCCAGTGGCACAGCTTGGTCATTCCCAGTCACCACCAAGATTTTCGGGACGTAGAGGCCAAGAGCCCCGTGGGGTGAGGCCGGTTGGCGGGGTTGAGCCGTCCAGGGAGCAGAGCCAGGACTGGCCACAGCGTGGGGCGCTAGGGCCTAGGGAGGCAGCCGCGTGGAGCGTGGGTGCGTGTATCTGAGTGGGCGCAGGGGCCTCGAGCGGCCACCAGCGTGGAGCGCGCATGCACCTCAGTGGATGCTGGAGCCTAGAGAGGCCACAGCGTGGAGGGTGCATGTATACAAGTGGATGTCGGGGCCTAGAGAGGCCATAGAGTGGGCGTTCGTGCATGCGAGTGGACGGCAGGGCCTACAGAGGACACGGCGGGGGGGGGGGTGCGTGCATTCGAGTGGGCACCGGCGTCTAGAGAGGCTGAAGCGCGCGAGCAGGCGAGTGGGCTCCTTGGCCTAGAGAGGACGTAGCGTAGAGCGCGTGCATTCGAGTGGGCGCCGGGGCCTAGAGGTGCCGAAGCTGGTACATAAGGCGGAGCTGGGTCGTGGCGCGCACGCGCACGGCGGGCGGGCGTCTGGATGGCGTCGGCCCAGCGGTCTCGCGTTCTCCGGTGCTGCAGTTGCCGTCTCTTCCAGGCTCACCAGGTGAGGCGGGCTCCGGCCTCGCTCTCTGCTCGCACGCGATGGTGGACAAGCTGCGGAGGGTTGGGGTGCCGTCTCGGGTGACTGCGCTTCCCCGACACGCCGCCCGTTTCGGGCCTTTGGTTTGAATTTGGCGCCGGGGTTGAGCGCGGGGCGCGGGCGCGCGCGGCCTCGG